TCTTGGATATTATCCATCGTCTAGTAAATATAAAACGTAAAACGACGTTTCGGAGATGGGACTGTATCTCCGTCTTCAGGTTCCTACACAGTTGGGCCAACTAGATAGAGCTAATCCCTAGTCCCATCTCCGAAACGTCGTTTTAAGTTTTATATTTTACTAGACGATGGATAATATCCAAGGAAATTTTTATTCAATTGACCTATAAGTATAGGTCTATTTCAAGTCGAAAATGGTACCAACTGCGGGCGGAAGCTTAGTTCACAATCAGTCGACGAGTTTTTCTTATTTTACTAACTGCATGGATGGATGGCTGACAAACATAGAAGGACGCGGGAGTGGAGTATTTATGTGCGAAATCGGCCTACCAGAGAAGTAGGCTCCAAAACATTTCGTCTCCAGACCATAATCGATCTCGGAAAGCACTGAATAAGAATCGAGAGTACGAAAGCCTCTCGTCATAACCGAGCTTAACGAACAGTGCCATCTCATCGTTACGTGTTTAAGTATCGCGCTGCTGTTACCATTGCTGGAGCCCCAGCTTTGCTGTCTGTAATTTACCCTTAAAGACCTAGTGGTTGTCGCGTTAACAATCTATAACTCTGTATTTTTCAGACCAATGGATTCCTCATGCGTCTTTGTGTATTTTCACACAAAGCATTAATAGTACCTGCATTTCATGACTTATTAAGAAAGTAATGTAATACTGTGAACATTATGAAGGTGGATGCCTGAGGCTGGGATGGATACTGAGAGAAAAATGCAGGCACGTATATGTGAATTCTGTCCACAGTCTGGTTCATTTGTGACTCATTTGTCTGCGTTCTAATTTTCAGGGAAGCCATAAAATTCTGTCACACTTAATCTCAATGAAATACATTTCTATACTCTTGGAACGTCCATTTCTCGCTTGCATGTCACAGAACCAATGTCTACAAATTGACAAGAAATTTTTTAAAAAAAAAATTATATTTAAGTTTATATAATTTTATACACCTGAAGATGATTCTTCTAGAACTGAAACATGTCGTGTAAAAAGTGATGTTCTAATGTAAATCGAACATTTCGATAGAGAACATCATTTTAAATATTTAAATGTTAATTTTAGTAATATTTTAATATTTAATAGGAATTTTATTGTGATTTGACTGACAAGATTTAAACAAATATATATTTATCACAATATGAC